CTTTGGGAAAAAATCCAAAGGCACCAATGATATCTTAAAATAAACATGCCAGAGAACGCGGGGCGTTAGATCTCCAATATATCCTTACTAGTAACATCAGTACAACTCCCACTATCAATGATAAAACTACATGGGGTGGAGTTTACTATGCACCTAGTATGAAAATAGGTTCTCTCTTTGTGCCTCTAAAAGTTCTTCCCTATATTCCACACATTGAGGTTCCTCATAGCCACTAACGCTATATCTTTTGAATCCTCTTCAACTTCCTATTTTTTACTACTTTCTTCTTTTATGTCCTCAACCTCTAATTTCTCCACCTCATCATCCGTGACTAGCTATCCTTCCTTAAGTATCGTGACTCTTTGATCAGGGCAATTTCGGCTTATGTGGCCTATTACATGACACATGAAACATTTAATCTCACTTGCTCTAGTCTTAGGAATTTCGGATTGGGTTTTAAACTTGGATGACTCTCCTTTTTCATAATTATCCTTCGGTTTGGACTATAGGGATTTGCTCTCCACTTTGCTATTAAAGGTCTCAAGGGCATATTTGACATACCTTTTAGTCCTTCTTTGGTTCTGTTGATTTATTTTGACGGCAAGGTGTAGAAGTTTCTCCATGTCTTCACAGTATTGTAAGGCAATTTTGTCGGCTATGTCCGAGTTAAAACCATTTAAAAATCGGGCCATGGTGGTCTCCTCATCTTCTTCTAGTTGCAAAAGGCTCATCAACATGACCTTGAATTTGATCATCTTTGATGCCTTGACAGGGCTTATTAAGTCTCCTTCAATTTTCTCTATGGTAGTGTGGTGGCACAAATCTCCTCTTCATAAGTTCCTTGAATTCGATCGAAGAATTTACGGGTCCTTCTGTAACGCCCCGCGTCCTCGGGTATGTTAATTTTATGATATTGTTAGTGTCTTCGGATTTTTCCCAAAGCTGATAATTTTGTAACACCCCGCGTTACTCAGGTTAGCTTGCCTCGAGTTCCGGGAAATTTTTATAACAAAATAGATTTTTATTTCATTTTTTTTATTTTATTTGATTCATCAGTTATCTTATTTAATTTAAGTGTGGCATCTCGATTATTGTGAATTGCTACAGAAATGGGGGTGAGTTGGTCGTGTGTAGTTATTTATTAAATTATGGTTTAGTACGGATTCCGTTATGTGACACTTGTTTTGGGCCATTGGGCCAATTACGAAACTCTATTGTTGGCTTGTTTTAACAAGGAGGGATTGGGTAAGTGGGCCTTAAACAAAAGGAAAAGAACCCAAGCCCAAAGGAGTTAAAAGT